GCATAGAGACTGTGCTAGGAATGAGCCATGCCTGGGTGGGATGAGCAGGAACAGGAACCTTGCCAGGGTCACATTACGGGCTGGTGCCATATCATGTGTGTGCCATCTCATCCAAGCACTGCTCAAAGAGGTGGGCGTGGGTGCGTATTCAAAAAAAGGGGTGGGCATTTTCTACCAGCCAGCTTGGATTTCAGCTTTAGGAACATGCTCAAAAACGCCGATTGAAACTTTGCCCAGTCAAAAGCCAGAACCTCTCCTGTACATCCATTCTCCTTGTCCACTGCAGCTGAAGACACTCTCTCTCAGCTCTTGGATATGCTCATCTGTAGCAGAGTGTGCCCTTCCTGCTTCCCAGTTAACTGCTGTCTGAGCCACAGAGAGGCCAGTAATATTCTTCTGTGGTTACAGCCATGCCAGAGCACCACAATGCAAAGGATTTAAACCGAGCTGGAGATTATTAAGAACAGAGAGTCTGTTGCACTATGCCCAACTTTTCTGCAACCAGAGCCAAGACCACCGCTCCCTCAGAGCAAGGAGGAAACCTTCTGATACACTGTTTGACCTGCTGTGGGGGGTTGTCTGTAATCAATCATGCTGCTGCTGCGGTAATGAAACACAAGAAACAAGACCGCTCAAACCACTTGAACAGAAAGAACTTGGTGTTTGGAGTACCAAGGTCCTTATTGCTCTCCAGCACTCTTCACCACCAGCTTGCTGCAGTAGTTTGGATAGCATTTAGCTTTCAACTTCATCCCTAGAAAAGGAACCATCTGCCTCTTGTATGCTAGGACCAGTTAATATTCCACCAGAACCTGAATATGTGAAACTGCTTCCTAACTGCTGAGCCACAGCATTATAGCCAGTCCAGCAGTAATCGCAGGGTTTAAAGATTTTTCTTTTAGAGTAGCTACTAGGAAATGCTGCCAGCAGGATTGGAGTAATGCTAAGTGGTGCTTGAAAATAAAATTGTTTAATGAAATGAAAGTTCCTCTGCAGAGCTCTGGCTTTGCTTTGCAGCATCCAGAGAATGGAGATGTTTGCTATTCCACCTCTCTGAATCCTGAAGTCTGTAATGAACTTGGTAAATATTTCTCCTATCTCTCCACAAATGCATTATAAACTTTAGTATATTCATGTTAACAGCAAAATTGGTTTCATCCACTGTCCATATCAGAGGCGCATTTGGGTTGAGGGTGCTCAATCCAAACAGAGACAGGAGCTGGGGAAGAGGTCAAAACTGGGGATGGGCAGGATGGGAATGGGAGGAAGCAAGGGTCTGTGGACAAAACAGCCTCAGGCACATGCTGGCAGGAGGAAAGGAAAGTCTGAGCAGAGCGCTGCATTGTCCCCACTCACAGGCAGTGCATTCCCATGGGTACCACCTGCCAGGTGCAAGCAACAAGAGAAGGATGGGTTATTTTCCTTTGGGGCAGGGGTTTGGAATAAAAGCATACTTGGGAAACCTCTGCTTTCTGTAGATTTAAGCAGTGGAATCAATTCTACATTTTCAGACTTAAAGTGCCCAGAGTTCTGTGTTTCTGAGGAGATCTGAGGTTTTCACCACATGGTCTTTGCACTAGAGACTGTAACTGAAGCATCACGTTAGGAAATGCCAATAAATTTTTGAAGAGAAACTGGAATTCAACCTGAAATTCAATACTTTGCAGAAGGCCTTGGAGGTCAAATTCCTGAACCCAAGAGACTCTTCAGGTATTGACATATTCAAAACAGAAAGCTGTTGTTTCATCTACGCTAAGGAAACAACAGGCATGGCCACCCAGACCAAGGACAACATGCTCTTGAAAGAGCAAAGCATCCTTTCCTTCCTCTAGGAACCAGCTGCTGGCATTTGCCGATAAGGACTCTGCCACGAATTACTAGGTACTACAAGCCCTTGTGGTGAGCGGTGCTGTGGCACATTGAGAACCGATGAAAGGCAAGGCCTTTGCCTCAAACCAAAAAAAAGGGCAGAACAAAATGGAGTAGGTGCGAAAAATGAGACAATAAATGTTTCTGACGTGTTGCCTGCTGCCGCCTTCCACATCCCCAGGAATTATGCAGGCTTTCACGGGAAGATGACCCAGACACCACACAGCACTGGGAAGAAGCCACAGCTTTTCTCTGCACCTTTATGAAGGATTCTGGTTGCAGCAGTAGCAATGGAGCTCACAACATTTCTGATCAGGATAACTTTTCTTTTTTCCCCAGTTAATCAGACTGAAGAAGTTTGAAAAGACATCCAGAGAGAGCTTGCAGAGCAGACAGAAAAAGCATATGGACACATATATATATATATATATATATATATA